TTCTTCTTCTTCTTCTTCTTCTTCTTCTTCTTCTTCTTCTTCTTCTTTTTTAGGGGAGGGGGTTGAGACAGGGTTTCTCTGTGTAGCCCTGGCTGTCCTGGAACTCACTCTCAAGAATTTTTATTACCTGAACTTAGAATTAGATCTTGGAATTCAATCTCAATATACAAACTTGAAATTAAATTTCTGTGGGCCAAACATAATCCTCTGTAAAACTCTATTCTTTTAATATGTCAAGGCTTGCTTCTGGCCAGGGCTGCCCTCCCTTGATGATGATCCCACAGGTCTCAAAAAGCACAGACTTAAAGTGTCAATGGGAACATCGCTTCAGCTGTTATGTTGACTTAGTTGGTAATATTGCTCAAATGGCCAGGGGCCTTCCTAACATTCTACCCATTGTTCTTCCAATAACTCAGGTTGGATTGTTAAAATTTGCAGGACTAGCAATACTACCCCTAGATTGTCTTCTCTTTTTTTTATTATTAGTAAACAGTTTTGAAATGGATCCTGCCTAGATTCCCACCAACACATAATGAAAATGTGGTGCGTATACACAACGGGAGTTTATTTGTCCACAAAAAAATGAAGTCGTGACATTTACAGGAAGATGGAAAAATGAAAATTTATTGTCCCAGACATAGAAAGGCAAATAGCATGTTTTCTCTCATATGAAGATCCTATATTTTACATATTTATATGTTATATTATATATCATATTATATATACTCTATTATATATAGTATATGGGGCATAGGTAAAAAACTAGAGAGAAAAACACAAGAGGAGAAAAAGGGCATTAAGGATGGTTGGGGGTGGGGAGGGTGACAGTACATGTGACATGAATGGTTGAGGGTGGGTGACAGAATTCATGTGACGTGAATGGTTAGGGGTGGGGAAGGGTGATAGCATACATGTGACCCGAGTGGTTGGGGTGGGGGAGAGTGATAGCACACATGTGACATGAAGGAGGAGGATGTTGTGAGCAGTAAGGCCGAGGTCCAGTAGGAAAGAGGCAGGCTGTGGGAGGGAAACTGGGAAATGGATCAACAACAGCAAAGAGAATGCATAAGAGGCTCATGGTAAAGCCCATTGCATTGTGCAGATGCCTAGATTTTGTGGCATGCTAGTATGACAAATGTCTATTGGGTAGATAATGTCTCTTGGTGTGTCACATGTCGAAATACTACATTTTAGAAATAGACAATCAAATATTATACTATTAAGTCTCAAACCAAGTTCCCCCTCTCCTCACTTGGCTCAGGGTCATGTTCACTCTGGATTCTCCAGATGTCTCTGCCTCTCCCTTTTATCTGCAATAAACTTTCTCCTCCACCATACCTGGGAGCAGTCATGTCTTTCCTTTTTATTTCTTTTTTCATCCATGGAACATGTGTATTGGCTACTTTTGTCACTGTGATTAAACATCTGATAAAAACAATTTTTAAAAGGAAAGGTTTGTTCTGGTTCATGGTGCAGAAGATACAATCAGTCCATTGAGGTGGGGAAAGCACAGTCAGGGGAGGGGCTCTTAGCTGAGCCAGTGCAAGTGTGAGGTGGTTGGTTACACTGTATCTGCAGTCAGGACTCAAGGGGAACTGGGCCAGATCTAGGGCAGAGCTATAACCCATAAAGCCCAATCCTGGTGACACACTTCCTCCAACAATGCTCTGCCCCTACAGGTTCCCTAGCCTACCAAAGCAGCCTTCAGAGCTGTGACCAATCATTCAAAATATGGGCCCACAGGGAACGTGTCACATTCAAATCATTACACCATGAAAATAAAAGGGAGAGATATTTTAGAAATTACCCAGACTAAATGGATAATCACCAAGGACCAGCCTCAGCTCATGAGCCTCATCCTTAAGCAAAAGACTACATAGATGATTGGTACTAGGAGAGGAGGTATTATTTTCTCCACTGATGTAGCCACTGATAAGGTGTTCGTATGCCAGTAAAAAACCCTCGACTCATGCTCCTGCTAGAAACCATAATTAAACTCAGTGGGCCATTAAAGAAATAGAAAAAGAGCTTGTTGAAAAGAATAAGTGCTTGGCAGTAGAAAAAGAAAAATGAAGGAGAAGAATGTGGTCAGTGAACATAACCAAAAGTCAGTATATACCCGAATGAAATTGTGAAAGAATTAAAAAACAAGAGTATGTGGTTCAATCTCCATGTGTTTACATAGTGTTGTAGTGTTGTGTAGTGACAGTTTTGGCTGCTTTAAGAAATACAGAAATATTATAAGAATATGTTTTCATTTTAATCCCAGGTGTGGGATATGGGGCTGCTTCAGGTTAGCCACAGCAGCTGACTATAATTTGCCTCGTGCTCTAACAGGGGCATGATTTTGCCAACTGCAGATGGTTTCTGAGATTTACGACATTTGGAATTCTGGGGACTTTTCAGAAGTTATATAAATGTTAGGTCCCCCAAGAGGCGGGGTGGGCTGTTGGTTGGTTGTTGGTTGGTTATTGGTTGCTGTTGGTCACAGTTTGTTAAAGTAGTCATGTGAAAAACAGAAAGAAGAAGTTAGATATTCTAACAGTGAAAATCAAACTTGTCCCAAGGAACTTGATGCCCCAATCAGCAGAAAGTAGTCTAGTGATAACAGCAACCCCTTTCCTCACTATCCATTTTCTCTCCTATCTTGTGTTGGGGGTTGAAAGGATAGGAAAGGGGTGGGAAAAGATGAAGAAAGGTGGAAGAAAGAAGAACCAGCAAAGTAAGCAAAGACAGCTACAGTGTTGCACAACAAATAATGAAAAGGCAGAGTAAGAAGAAAGCTGCTTTGGTCTGAGGTGATGTCCTTAAGTTTCACTGGTTTTACCAACCAGTGCAACATTGTTTATCAGCCTCATAAAATGTGCCAATACGCGCCAGGGCTCTAAAATACACACTAATAATAAGTAGGGACTCAGGAAATAATGCAGTCATTGGTAAGAAATGAATTTATAGCTCCTGGGGGACAAAAGTGATGGAACATCTCACATAGGGCAAAGCTGGCTCTTGATGAACTGAGGGCTGTTCCCCTTTGTTGAGCTTCAGATGAAAACACCATTGATCTTGATTTTAGTTATAAAGTAGCAATTCTTACTTGTATAATCAGAGAACAGAAACTAATCTTGAAGCTATTACCTTTCTGATCCAGTACACTACTGTCTGTCTGTCTGTCTGTCCACCTCTGTATCTCTCTCTCTCTCTCTCTCTCTCTCTCTCTCTCTCTCTCTCTCTCTCT